TCTACCAGCATTTGAATTTGACCCACACACGTCAACGGTGAGTGACAAATGAGCCTAGTTCTTCCCAGGGAAGACTTCCTTATATAGCGCGCCTTCATGTTTCATCTGACTTCACACTGTCACAACTACTGGTAATTTACAAGGAAATGTGCAGCTGCCAGAGGGGAGAATTGACAATCTGAGTCAATGGTTAAGGGGTCAAAACATGTCACTAGAAGACTATTAGCTATCTTTAAACATTGTACATCTCCACTACGAGAATAGTCAAGGCGACCATGGATTAGACGTTGTTTGGAAAAATTCATTTGTTATTTTGGCTAAAGGATTACCATAAGAGGAATTGTAAACATAAAAAGAGGCACTTTTAAAGAGCTCAAAAGACTATAAAAAAGGGGCATGATTGTATAAGACTATAAAAACATTTAGGACATCACTATGTTAAAAATGGTTGTTGCTGTTCAAACATTCATTGTTATGACAGGGTTGTCAAAAAGACTTTGAGAAACCAGTTTATGATTCCAACTAGGAGGAATAATTTCAGCTACAAGCATTTAAAATTTTTCAGGATAGACCATAAAATGTGACAGTTACTGACTTATTTTGTCAAGTCTGATAAACATTCCTTTTAATTACTTACTGCATGTTTTTTAGAGAACAATTCCTTGATAATAGTACTGCAGTATTTGAGCTGCTCTGATAATGGTTTCTTTTTACCTCGCGACTGGAAAAAAATTTGCAATTTCAAGAGTTAAAAAAACTTCCTCCAAACACTGGTCAAGCAACAAGAATAGAAACAAACCAATAATGCTAGTTTGTCTCACTAGGCTATCGGGCGCATTTGCAAATAAAGATTTTGCTTTTGCGACTAAAAATTTCCCCATTGGTAGCAATTTTGCAACCGTTTTACAGCCTAGCTTATAAATAAATTATATTTAACAGCCTTGTGTCTTACTTGTTACTGGTTGTAGTTTTATTTGAAAAATGCTGAGAAATTCAAGTTCAATGTTGCATGATTTTTATTGTTATTTCTTGCTGAGAAATGTACCATGGACGCACTTTTTCAGAAACTACATCGTGCAATGCTCATGAAATTTCTTTTGCAACTAAAATTTTCGAATTTGCAGCTAAATTTTTTAGGAATTACTTGCAAATTGGGATCAAGAATTATTTTTAATTTCAAGCCCTGAGCAATATGAGGTGGTAGCAATACTCACCACCTGTGGCTCTTCAGGTAAATCTCGATTTGGTTTTTTCACCGTTCTGGTGGATTCTCTCCTAGTTGGTATTTTAGCAGCTTTGGCTTTCACAGGTGGTAAGGGATCTCCCATTCCACTGATTGGTGTGGTGGGAGTTGTGGTATCAGCTTTTCTTTTAACTCCTTTTTTGACCTGAGGACAGAATGTTGCGTGAAGTCTCAAAGATTTGGTATTGTAACATTTGAAATTTGATGGATTGTTGGAAAGTTATATTTAAGATTCCTAGAATGCCTTAGCTTGGCTGAGGAGAACTCTTCCCTCCACTATGACAATGACTTCTACTAAGCGATCCTTCTTGGGACTACTCTCAACTGAACAATTAGACTAATTGATTGACAGTTATTTCTGGAAAACAACCATTTCCTGTGTGAATGTTTTGAAGCATTTTATCCACCTTAGCTCTCACTCATCTTAAGAATGCACTAGAAAGTAACAGAGGAGGGAAGCAAACCTTGGCAGGCTGAACAGTGGTTGGGAGAGCTGGAGCGGCAGAGATGGAAGGGGAGGGCAAGACAGTGGTGGCATCAACTGGAGTTGGAAGTGCAGTTGTTGCTGTTACAGCTACAGGTGGGGTGGGATATGGCAAGCTTGTCATAGGGGTGCTATCTGGAGTTACTGAAAATCACAACAGAATATGAAATTAGTACAAATTAGAACTTCTTCTGTTGTTTGCATTATTTAACATCGACAAAAGGCATTCAATTTGGTTCTAATTTCCACAATACCAAGACACAAAATTAGTCAGAGCTGTCAACATCTGGCTACTTTCTCCTTGTTTTAAGAAAAGTGCTGGTGAAAAATCCTGCATTTGTAGTTTATAAATTATCATCATAAAATTGTAATTTTCCAGTCAAAGTTTACAATGTGTTAATTGATTCTACGTTCAGAATTTGCACATAGGTTTGTGTAAACTTTTTGAGTGCCAGGGACCTTAGAACTTATAGTTCCCAGTTTTTCATGTAATCTGATGAAACTACATGGTGTCCCAGATAACATGGCCATCTAGTCTTGTTTTCCTTCTCCTGTCAAACTTGTTGATAGCCCTGATCAATAAGGTTAGTTTTGCATCTAAATAGATGGAAAAGTGCTGCAACTTTTCACACCAAAGCAGTGTGTGTAAAAAAGCAAAACCAATCAATTCCTGAATTGATTTCAACAATCAATCACAATGTCTTTTAATTTTATAATCACAAATGGCTAATGGTGCTGTCCAATTAACCGTTTAACTCACAAGATCTGATTGTTAATTCCCCTTTCTACCTGTTACACATTTCCTTGAACATTAGTTACATGAATTTGGTATTGAATCAAGATAATAACATCTAGCAGATAAGTTTGAGTATTCTCATAACTTGTTTGCTTGATAATCTATGGATATTATTGGGAGAAGTTACATGTTAATCACTTCTGAAAGTCAAGGGTTGAGTCAGTTACCTGGACTGTGCTCCATTTTGACTTGTGGAACACCACCTTTCTTAGCTCTCTTTGCCACTGGTCCACTGGGCAAAGCCTTCTTGTTGGGTCCTAGGAGTACCTCAAATTCCTACAGCAAAGCATTTATATCTTATTAACTTCCCTTTACTTTCCAGTATAAAACACCTTTTAAGGCTTTAGTTGAATATGTAAAATAAGGCATCCAAGTCCATGCAGAATAACTTTCAAGTCTCACCTCTGCAGGCATGGTTGCAACTTTCTGGTTAAAAACTTTCTCCATTGTCTGGCACATGAGAACTACATCCTGTGTGCAAAAAATTAAATCACTTTTAGTAACCCATTGACACTTGCGTGTAACACGTGCTGATGAAAAGTCAAAATTTTGGAGAAACCAAGAAGGCAAACACAATGCGCAGTAAATTTTTAAAAATCAGCTTTTCCAAAAAACAAGCTCCAGTGAAAAGGACTAATTAAAGAACTTATTTCCGGCGAAAAAAGCGATAGGTGCACATTACGTTTCAACTAAAAAATCAAGATGAAAGAAAAATTGCTAAATATTTTCACATGTGTGAAAATGGGCATGTGGATCACATTTCAAAAGGGAATATGCAAATTTGTCAGTGAGTGAAGAGATCTCAAGTTCCATGGAATCTATCAATAGGAAGCAAGACTGAAATGGCCAAGAAATATTTCGGGACAGCAGATTTATTCAAAACAGTGTTTGATATGCTGTTATAAGTGAAAAACATACGAATTTCTTACATGTACAAAGCCCACGCGGTAAAATTCATCATGCTCAGATCGTTGTTTACCTGCCTTCATGGCAAGAAATTGCACAGAGTTATGTTGAAAATTCTGAAAAAACTTTGATTTGAGGCAAAATCTTCTATTAAACTATACTTTTTGAACACGTTACTTGAACATAATATTTACCGGGCCATCGAATCGTCAAATTGTCGCTAGGCCCTGCTTGTAGTCCAAAAGTTCGGTTTTCACTTTATGTCCATAATTCGCATTGCCTTAGAGAATCGTAGTGTCATTGACTCGAGAGCTTATTCTGTCACCTTTAAGACCTGGATATCCATTCTTTTCCAAGCAGAGTATTCTAAAGCATTGTTACTTTACATTCTGAATTCCACAAGGTCTAACTCGATTGCAAATGAACGAAAAATCCGACCTGAAAATTTTGAAGGTCGGCCGCGCGGACGCCATATTTTCAAATTTGATCATTTTGTGAAGACACATAGAATAATGCCCCTCCAGTACCCACAAAAGTCGACAAAATATATGCGCAAACAACAGATTCTGATTGGCTTGTTGATCTCCAAACTATAGAGGAAGTTTGGGGACAAAACTCCACTTAGTAGGGGAGGTAGGGCGAAAGCATTCTCGCGCGAGGCAATCATGAGGTTTGGGCAGTTCAGGTGTCAATGTGTTAATAACTGCTGTGATCATGAAATGGGATTTTGATTTGAGAGTTTGGTAAAACAAGCCATTCTAATGCCATTTCTTTAATTCTAGTAACATTCCAAGAGATTCTAAGTCCAATATACTTAAATTTGTTTACTAATTGAAAGAGCACTCTTCAATTGTGTTGTTATAAAAATAAATAAATAAATACAACAAAACTAAAGTTAATAATGAACAAACTGAAATTAAAGACCAGCATTAAATACACAAGAAAACAAAGTCAAAATTGGTCAGAGTTTGCATAAAATAAGTCGAGAGGGATACACAAGATACAAGATATCAAACCAATTGCAGAGCAAAGCTATATAAAACAACATCAACAACATTTTTCTACAAACCAATAAAGGGGGCAAGTTTCAAAAGAAACTGTGGTGATGTGTCTGAGGGGTATTAAGATATAATTTAGCTTTGTAAACTGAGTTGATCACCTAAATTGGCCAGCTTGAAGACTTTCTAAAGGTTAGTGGGTGTCAGCCCTTATCAGTGAGAATATTTTTCTACATTCAACTGGAGATTGCTCTACAAAGGCTAACAGCTGATGAAAGCTGAACCATGGCTGGCACAATCATTTTCATAGGAAAAAAAAAAAAGAAAAAAAAGCACTTATGAATCCTCCTGATTGTATTTGATAACACATTCAACTGAAAGATGAATGAATAACTTTTAATGCAGCTGTTGTACAATGGCTCACACAAAAGCCTGACTATAACAATCAAAACCATCTAATGATCCCCTTTTTAATAAAGCCTCATAATCCTTGACTTCAACAGATCTGTTTAACCTTTACCCAGGATTAGAAGTGACCACAAAAAGGGTCTGAAGATCATTACTTTTGTTTGATTGTTCATCTTTTTCATACATACTTCAGTATCAAAAGCCACAAATGAGGTGAAGTTTGACAGATTACTTACTGTTCTCAAACAATCAACAATGTTCGCCACACAAAGTAAGAAAATACACTTTACTTTTATCTGTTCAACTTGTAAATAATTTAAGCCAACAAAATAAAGGAAAATGTGTAGAAATGTTTGATGACTTTCGACCACTTTTGTTGGTATGAAACTGAACAAAATTCAGTGGGATTTAAGTAACAAAGATTGAAGCCTTAACAAAGATACTTTTCCAATCCAGTTCACGTTGTGCGAATGGGACAGGAAAAATCCTGGGTCACCATGAGGTATCACACTTCAGATCTACCAATTCCATGTTCTAATGTTCTACCAACGAGCCATTCTTCCAAGATCAGAGAAGTTGAAAGCTTGGAATTATATGATAGAAGAAGCAAGAAGGTAAATTTGGAGTTGGGTAATGAAAATCAAATCCCGTCTACATATCTTTCAACCTGCTAACATTTACAATTTCATTACTCTTTCCACAATACTCTCCATCTTCAAGCCTCAGTTTTTTCAATTAATAACTGTTTCATTTTCCACAGCAAAAACTGGTCCTACAGAAAATTTCTTTTTCTGAGTTGCCTTATTCACTGGATATTCATGAGATATTCAATTGATTTGAGCAGAGACAGTAAAAAAAAGTTTCTTCAAACAACGTTTGAAAAATTATCACTGCATTTACTACAACACAACTCCTTTGACCATGTGTTTAAAAGTTCAGAGGAACGGAAATAGCTTTATGATACTGGAGTAAAATTAGAAATTCAATTCGAATTCTGTCGTAACTCCATACAATCAAGCAAATTCAATTTCCTCCTTACTTTTAAGTCATTATAATTGATGCAATAAGCTGCAGTGGTATTAATCATACCTCTCCTGGTTTGTTATACGTGATACAGTTGTTAAACATGAGGCGAAAGTCATCGATGCAATCTTGACTGCAGGAATATTCGTGGTTTTCAAGCTTTTTCTTTATCTGACCCATATCCATCGGGTGTTTGATAATCGTGTAATAATCCTACAAAACCACGAGAACTCACAATCAACAACAACGACTTGCAAAGGAGTGTGAACGCAATAATAGCCTTACACTTTAGAGTGTACTAACCGGCAAATTTAATTTAACAGCGTCCACTGGATCGTGAAACGGCCAGGAATATGGATGTCTCCACATCGCTTTCATGATGGTTTTCGACACATACTGCAATTGGTTGGTCGTTCGATAACCTTTAGGATCTTGCCCGGTAGAAGGCGTCTGAGCCATACCTTTCTACAAAAGACATTTTGAACAGAATAACAGTCCGACCTGAATTTCTTTTGGTTTCGAATGCAATCGACACACATCAAATTAGAAATTCAAGCTTTAGATGCTGCTCGCCTGAGCGAAGCTCGCGAACAGCGAAATGGATTAGAGATATATTTACCGCTGTTTGTTGTTCAAAATCGTCGTACTTGTGAGATAAACGCCTTATTCGCTTCCCGAGCCCGTCAGGACTCGACTCTGGTCGCAATCCATTCAATGAATCGCCAGAGTGTTGTTCGTTAGTGAGACCAGACTGTAAAGTTGAGCTGGGCCTAGAGGTGATGCAATACAACCTCGTCAAATTTCGCCCTTCAATCTAACTAAATATTCCCAAAAATAGCATTAAAAAGTGCAGTAGAACCTTAGACACAGGTTATGCTAGTTTAAGGTAGGTAAAAGACTGTTCTTGAGAGAGAAAATAGTCCGCGTCACTTCAACGCCATCTTACAATGTCAACGCCATTTTTGGCGGTGCCACGCACAACAATACACGAACGAATATCACGATTCATATGCCAAATAACCCAATAATAACCGGACCATACCGTTCGATAAGGTTCGTTAGAGGGTTTTGCAAGGTTTGAATTGTCGGATGGCCTTGCGTTTCCATGCACGGCGAAAGATTCTCCAAAGATTCTTTCCTTCTTTACAATCCTGTCCGGCTCGCCGAAGAGCGATAGCCGCCCTTTTGAATTCTCGAACGACCCCCAGCAAAGAGCTTACAAGCCACGTCACTCTTTTGTGTCACGTGCCATTAGTCAGCGCGCCAAAAATTGACTGTGTTCTTTTCTCATTGATTGCACGCGAAACGGAAGGCTTATCAACCTTTGGACGCATTTTAAATATTTTTCCACCTTGATTTTACAGTAGTAGAAATGATGATAATTTCCAAATTTTCTGCATGGTGTTAGAATGATTGCATTATTTACTCTTACAATACTTTACACAAGTGTCTAACTTAAATCCATAACGTCGAATAATCGATCGTGTCGACAGGTTCCGTTTCGTTTCGGTGGATCAAATATCAAAGTAATGCAGTGATCTGCACGAATCTTGGTATTTATTGCAGTGAAATTGGTAGACTCCTTGAGGTTAAATTGTCGCAAATCGCAATCGCTAGATACAGTACATCGATCGAAGATAATAACTATCACTCCGATATGACTTAAATACACCGCAGATTCCTGATATACATGCCCAGATAATTTGCAGTGGTATCCGTTTAATACAATGAGCACTAGTTTACTTTCGCGAAGAAGCTTTACTTTTTGGCAAAAGATGTACAGAGGAAGAAAACCGATTTATCGTCGCAGCTTCTTGTGTGAAATTGTCAGGTAGCTCTTCAGTGTGGCGTCACATTTGTTTACATTCATCATATGTAGCAGAATAAATCAATACAACTGAGATCAGTTCACATTTAAATCCAGATGCCATCACCAAAGCAAAAGGTATATCAATAAAAATTCCTTCTTGAGAAATCCATACACATTAATCTTCAATCACGATCTCAGCTACGTAGATCAAGGATTCGTCGCAAACATAGCGTAAATTATTCATACATCGCCAGGCCGCCTTTGTTCGGTGATCTTCTCAAGTTTGGTATCGTCCTTCCCACAGGCTTGTCCAACATGATGCCCGATAAATTCAACACCACAAGGCAGTTCCCAATATCGCTCTAGTGTTATCCATAGTGTACACTTCATTTATCTGTCCATGTAATATTCTTGAACTCTTTCTGTTGGCACTCGAAGAGACCACTTCGGTTCACCTAACTCGTCACGCGAATCTTGCGCGCGCAACTGAATGATACTTGTGCAGTTTGTGACGACACAGCTCGCGGGACTTTCAAAATACTATGAGGAGAAGTTTAGATTGTTTGCTGCGCTCTCCGTGCGTTTTTTATCTTTTTTAGATTAGATGTTCAATCAATCTTCCTCTCCATCTTCAGAGATCTGAACCTACTTTTTCTGATCCTCTTAATCGTCTAGAGGGGAGAGCCGATCGAGGCAAATTGATTATCAATGAATCAAGGTAAAAACAAACAAGGTAAAAGAATGAGCATATTTTGGAATGACTGAAGCTTCAATGTACAAACACAGCAAGATTCCGGTAACTTTCTAAGGTTCTTTCCAGATCTCTGGTGATCTCCCCATCTGTTTTGGTTAAAATGTCTCTTAAGGTAGCTCTATGTACGGATATGATCTTCTCGCAAAGGAACCCCTACTTGAAATGGAAATAGTCCAGAAACACATGGTTTCAGGTTCTAGTATAAAGGCAAGCAACAGTAGATAATTTGGGACTGGGCTAACTTGAAGTGAGCAAGGAAGAAATATCTGGCTGAGAGATAGCTTTAAGACTTAACCCCTAAATATCAACAGCCCAAGATACATACATACATACGTTAGTTGACCACTCCCCATTGGAGCTTTTCAGGGCCAATTCCCACTCATCCTACCACAGGGGAGGACATCCACAACACAGTAATCTCGTGTGTGGGAAATTAACGTCTCCTACCCCTAACCCTGCAGGAGAYGGGACCTACGGTTTATTCTTCCTTATCCGAGAAGACTAGATTATCTATCCATTTCTTGATTATAGAAAGGTAGCAAATTCTCCTCACTTATTTTAAGACCATGAGTATCGGTCCGGCCGGGGCTCCAACCCTCGACCTCCCGCACAACATAATCCGGCACTCTCACTAATTGAGCTAACCGGGAGGTGGTTACTCAGTTGGGTGTAGCTGTGTGATTGTTGTTGTTGTATGTTATAAGGCTTGTTGAAAATTAACGGAGAACTGAGAAATGTTTTTCTGCATGGTCTCGGATGGTGACATCAGTCAAGATTGAGAGATAAGGTTTTTAGTTGGATATTGGGGATGTTTCGAGCGATAGCCCTTCGTCATTCCCTCTTATCTATGGCGGATCCAGGGGTGGTTCGGTCAAACCCCCTAAATTTTCCCTCAGAACGCTGGAAATCATGTTTTCGAAGACCTAATTTTCAAAATCTTGGACCCCTCAGAAGGGGAACAATTCTCCAAACCCCCCCTTGACTAAATCCTGGATCCCCCCCAGCTTATGAGGTACTAATGCCAACTTTTAAAACTTTTTATGGTGGCCAATTTACTCCATCAACTCAGTTGATAAAAAACTAATTATGTGCTGGGTGTGGGTGATGGATTGCTGTTGCTGAATGATATAACAATTGTTGAAAATTAACGGAGAACTGAGAAATGTTTTTCTGCATGGTCTTGGATTGTGACATCAGCCAAGATTACGAGATAACATATTTAGTTGGATATTGGGAGATTGTCTTTGTTGTAGTTGTTTTGAAAGAATCTACCCTGTGAGCAGAGGCCCTTTGATCTGCTCGGAGGGTAAAAAGAAACAGGATTTTGAGCCTTCTGCAGTACCTTTGTCTGCAAACCAAATTTACAAGACCCTCTCCTCTGACACCTTCTAGGTTCCCCTCACTCAGGGGCTGTAAGCAAATTGGCAGGGGATAACATGCTCTCCTGACCCCTAGCCTAAACCCTTAACCTCCAAACCTACCCCCTGCATATCTTGAATTTTTTTATTTGAATACTTGTGTGTCCCATCTACATAAAATAAGCTACTTTCATTGTATTTTAACAACACACTTTCCTAATAAATAAAAGAAACACCATTTAAATTTATTTACGAGTGGGCAATCTGCAAACATTGCTTTATAGCTCCATTTCGCATCAAATATTACTTTTCACCCTTTGCCAAGTTTCAAAAAGGAAAGAATCAATAATTTCAACATCAGGTATAGTTTATAGTTCAAATTTAATCCAAAAAAATTGAGTAACTATTACCAATAGCTCATAAAAATAACTCCTTTTCTCAATTATGTTGAGAGTTTACCAGTGTTGAAAATTCCTTGTTAAAATTCTCTTCCATTTTTAACTTTGACTGAAACTTTGCTTGTCTTTGCCTTAGTTTCTTTGTGCATGTGTAAAGAAAATAGTTGGCATGAAAAAGTCAGCCTTATGATATCTAGAAGACTAAACTGGATAAAAAAAGTGAGCTTTTTTTTAACTGTAACATTATAAGTATCATTGAAACTCTATATAAAAAAGACAAAAAAACAGTTCAATTAACCTCTCACCAGCTCACTATCAGACACTTCTTTTTTCAGTGTCTTGTACCTTTTTCCACATACCTTGAATGTATATACCTGACCGTTAAAAAATCTATATCCTATTCCTGAAAGAAACCTTTGGTAAACTGTTCTCAGAATTATTTTTGAGAGCAAAAAATTTTGGTAAAAAGTGTGCACCAAGTTATAAACTTGTACCCACAAAGTTAACAAATGCATAGAAAATATTCAGTGATACTACAAAACTAATTTTGAGCAGGTGACTTCCTCCTGAACAAGACTTCTAGTCAACATCTCCCATAATAGGTTGCTGGATAAAGACAAAATATAAATCACTTTAAACTAATGACACCATGTAGAAATCTGCTGAAAGATCATCCCTTGTCCTCAACCCACTCTCTTGCAATATCTAAATATCAAATTCTCTACACAGTCTTCCAATTACATTTCCTATTATTCAAGCTTTGAGAAATTGGTGTTAAATTGAATCAAAACCCAATTGGAATGTATTGACATTGAAATACATTCATGCTGTTCAGAGAAATTCCTTTTCCATCACTCCTGAGTGTAAAAGGGTTAAAAATCAAGTCACTTTATAGTTACAACCAAAGTTTTTCCCACTAAGTGACTGTGTAAGAGAAGCCTCTTCATAGGAACAGCCAGTGTAACATCATCGTCAACAAAAATTTAGTCATCTCAGCATCAGGGCTTGACACTAGTTTTTCTATTTACTAGCCGAGTGGCTAGTGATATCTTAATTGTTACAACAATTTCATTTTGTTTAATAGCCAAACTGGCTAGTGCAAATCAAAAACCACTAGCCAAAACTGAATTTCTACTAGTCTGTGGCTTAAGTAGGCTACCATTAGTGTCCAGCCCTGTAAGCATGTTCATCAAGGTGCAAACACAAAGTAATTATGAGAGTTGACTAGCACTTGAGAATCCTTGACTAAAAATTAATTAAAAACCATTTCAACAAGATGTTTGGCTGTGTAGCTGCGCGATGCGGTTCCAGTCAATACCCACTAATTGACCCTTGCTCACCATAGAGTCTCCTGTAGCTCAGTGGTTAGAGCATCCGACTAGATCACGGAGGGTCGTGGGTTCAAATCCCATCTGGAAACTCGATTTTTCTCTTACATTTCAACAATAATGCAAAATTGAAATTTAACGTCAGGGACACCTAGTCAAGAACATGTTGAGTTACTAAAGCAGCTATTTCACTAAGTTCGGGTTGAGATAAAACCAATAAGGTAGAAGTCTAGTACAGCTGGTCCTGTTCTCCAAAAAAATTAATTATTGATATGAATAAGAAATAAAACTAGAAAAATTCTATGAATTTGTTTCATGCAAGACGAATTTACTAAATTGCAATTAGCAAGAAAGTAAAGGTTTTATATCTAAAGCATCTTTAGATGTCCCACAAAAAGAGTCTATGCCATGTATTACCAGGAATAATAAAAAAATGTATACAGGTATCAGGTATGATTAAATCCCCTTTGAAAATGTATTTAATTTAAAATCAGATATATACTGAGTGTGTTAGTATACTCATAAACTTCCAATTATTTCTCATGTCAGGATATTCGACACAATATTTTTTCCCCAAGTTCCAATTATGAATCATAATACATATCTACCTCATCTGCATGATTTCTCATGGGAGCGGCATAAAGGTCCCCACGTGAGATCGTCTACCATAAGCTGTTGGAAAAATATGTATATATCAGAGAATACTTTGGAACATTAATTTTACTGACTTTATGTTCTGGCTGACCAAAAAAAAGGTGGTAGAAGTTTGAATCTGCTTGTTCTGATTGCCATGCAGCTTCAAATACTAACCTGGAGTGTATAATCACCTCTAACCACTGCCTTTCCATCTACCCATCTCTTGCCTATTTGTCTTTAAAACTGATTGTCTTCAGTCTCCCATAATTAACAATGTCAGAATTATTCATTACTCACCTTCACAATTATGTGATGTTCTGTCCATCTATTTGTTTGTATATCTGTGTACCTGTCTGCTTGACTGTCTCTCTGGTTTATTACTAATCTGCAAGTGAAGTTTGACTGTCCTCCCCCATTTCTGAGCACTGTCTTCCTCAATTAACTGGAAATTTGGCCAGCAATGGTTTTCTAACAGTCTCTGACTTTCTGTCTGTGTTATGGAGATAGATTTTCAGACTGAATCGGAGTCATCAATTAAACCACGACGAGTACACAAATATGGTAACTTTAATGATCCAATACATAAAAACTGAAACAAAGGATACAATGACCAACTGTCCTTAACTGCCTCATAGTGAAAATAAATAGGAGTCAGTGCACAATTATAAACAACATGAAACTACAAACTAATTTGAGGTGACAGACAATCAACAAACCTAATAACAAAGAAAACGATAACAACAACTACTACGTACCTCTATCCCACCTCTGGGTGAACAACATTCAAGGTGGCAGAAATCTTACAAAATAACTTAGTGCTAACATAAAGCTCGAGTACCGCTCCCGCCGACCATGCTTTTTTCTACACTTGACTGCGCACGCACAGTGACATCACGCATAACGCAATGGTAACGCTTACAGTCTGTCTGTCTGTTCTTATGTTAGGTACCTGCTCTATGATCTCTGCCTTTTCCAGTGATGCCAAGCTGCACTGCCAATCCACCAATGAACATTAGCGGGATAAGACACAAAATCAACCATGTGTACCAACAAGTGGGCAAAGCTGACTTGTCAAAGTGGCCTACAAATTTAAAGAGAATTTTCAAATAAACACCATAAGGCATCAACCTTACGAGAGAACAATACTGTACTTGGATTTAAAAAAGAAACTGTTTGCAGGGAGGCACACTTAGAGAGCACTTCTTAACCAAGCTAGCCATTCTGAAATATACTAGAGTTTCATCAACTTTCTACACCCTTACATCAGTGTGCATATTCTCCATGCTGATCTCTATACATTTCCTGAGGTGCTGACGAAGAGAATTTGTTAATCAAAAGCTTCTTTAGTCGCTGATCATTTATGATGGTCAGTTGCACCTCAGAACTTTTGCTTAATTGCCCCCAATTGAATTATTCTGTAGATACATGAGTGTTCTAGTTAGGACAAGCTAACAAGTTTCAACTTGTCCACTCACCTTGCAGAATGTTGACCGAGTAGTACAGTGATTTGCTGTTCTCCACAAAGTAGTCAAGGCCATTAATACAACCAAATGCACCCAGGAATGCAGAGGCTATCACAGTTACCACCTTAAACAAGAAAACACAAACTGAAGTGGTCAGCTTTCCCTGCACCCAAGTAATCTGGCTCTTATACTACAAAAAAGAACTTTCAAAAGGATTATTCTTTGTACCCTGCCTGTAATTCAAGTCGATCTCCAAACTAGATTTTGAGTTTTGTGTACATAAAGCTGAGATGAGAGGCATGTCTAAGAAGGTGTGGTGTTGCCATATAGTCACTGTGGCCTTCTATGTTTTACTTACAAGGCATTAGCTGGGCCTTAACTTGATAGCATTTTGTAAGAGCCACAGCCCTTTTGTGTCATGTTAATGACAGAACAGACTTGAAATAATTTGAACAAATGCAGTTCAATAACTGTGCAAAATTTCATGGCCAAGGCAACTCCAATTTTTTCTCCAATTTTATTTGCTGCTTGTTATTAGCTTTGTATGCAGAGTAGTGCTTGTACAGTGAAAAAAAAAAAAAAAAATTCACCAATGCAGCTTTTGTATACCTTCTGTATGCAGAGAATAAGGATTCCTCCAGCAATGGCAAAAGCACAAAGAACAATGTAAGGCAGCCAGGTGTGTTCAGACAGGTACTCTGACTGCTTATAGAGAAATGGCAGACAAACCATGCCCACAAACCATCCCATGGTTGCACCTGATAAATCAGACAGCATGAAAGTAATGAAAACAATACAAAGTCAAATACAACAAATGAAAATGTAAAAAAGCCGGGCTGTCAAATTTGAAGCATGACAATATGACAGGCAGACGCATAGCTCCCTTTAAGCTAGTAAGCCCAGGCATACAAACTTTTCTCCGAATATTTTTCTTGGAATATATATACCTTCCCCAGCCACACTATACTTAAAAGGTGTGGATCAGGCTTACAAGCCAAACAAGACATGCTTAACGCCCCTAACAGGGTAGTAGAATGTCACATGCAACTAAGTAACATGCATTGCAATGAAGTGACATACTTGGAGATGACCTGTCTCTAATTCTACACCCAAAACCTATTTACCACGGATCTTTTTTGATGATCTTTTTTTCAATAGGGGGCCCCTTACAGAGTATATAAAGCAGCACAGTATCTTGGATATCTGTCGTAATAGAGATATGAAACTCTGGTGAAGAATATTTTACCTAAGGTTCAGACAAGTCGTTTTAAATCAATTTTTATTAATAGATGTCTTTTCAATAGTGACTAATATTTTATCTTTTCTCTTATATTCTTTCTATTGTCATGTTAACTGTTACACATCTGTTTGCACAATAATTCTTAATAAAGACCTTTATTATTATTATTATTATTATCATATAACTCAAGCTCTGGATCTCTTAGTACTCTTAATTTATTGCAGATTGTAACAAACCTTGCATATTTCAGTAGATTACACCTTTGTTACAAAAGATTGTTCATTTAACCTTTAACTCCCATAGGTAATTAACATGCAGTGCTCGAAATTAGCAGTCATCCAGTCCTCCAAGACGACCAAAAAGTTTACCGGGCAACCAATTTTTAGTAAAATTAAGAGGCGCTGGTTGTCCGGGGGAAAAAACAACGGACAACCCAGCCAAAAATAGAATATAAATTAACCATAAACAGCACCTGACCTATGTGACAGTTTTGTTTTGTCAATGTCCGATAGTGTGAAGTTAATAATAATTTGCTCCAGCTAAGCATTTTCCTGTGTTTTGGATGTCTGTAAATTGTATAGAACATTGTCAGGTACGAAAATGTAAGAGACAAACACAAAGTTTCTTGTCTAGAGGCGATCAAGATCAAAGACGCCACTTTGAATATGCCACAACTTAAACCCAGACTTCCGTGAAACCCATTGCCGCACACTAAGAACTATGGGATTAGTTCAAGCTTGACCACCATGTGATTTTCTACCGGGCAACCAAGGATTCATCAGGGCAACCAAATTCATGGCTTTGGTTGCCCAGGTTTTGAAATAGGGATAACCTGGATTTTTTTTTTAATTTTGAGCACTGTTAGATGTTATAAAAGCATGAACTAACGTTTTGGTATCTTTCTGAGTAAGACATTTCCTGATTTTAGATAAATTGCGTATGTGAAAGAAAGCTACTTTATAGATATTTTGAACTTGATGCTCATGATTCATAACATCATTAACATTACTCCTATGTTTCTAGCTGACTCAGTTGAAACTGCCCTGACACCAGCTATTTTGATGTCA